ATAGAATAGAATAGAATAGAATAGAATAGAATAGAATAGAATAGAATTCTTTATTGGCCAAGTGTGATTGGGCACACAAGGAATTTGTCTTGGTGCAAATGCTCTCCGTGTCCATAAAAAAAAGATACATTCGTCAAGAGTCAAGAATCATCAGGTACAACACTTAATAATAGTTATAGGGTACAATAAGCCATCAAATCATATTAGGAAACGGTCGATATAAATCATAAGGATACAAGCGACAAAGTTACAGTCAAACAGTCACAAGTGGGAGGAGATGGGCGATAAGGAATGATGAGAGGTTAATAGTAATAGTAGAGCAGACTTTGTAAATAGTTGGACAGTGTTGAGGGAATTATTTGTTTAGCAGAGTGATATAGCTTTTGTGGAAAAACTCCCCTTGTGTCTAGTTGTTCTGGTGTGCAGGGCTCTATAGCGTCGTTTTGAGGGTGGGAGTTGAAACAGTTTATGTCCGGGATGTGAGGGGTCTGTAAATATTTTCCCATTCCTCTTTTGGACTCGTGCAGTATACAGGTCCTCCAAGGAAGGCAGGTGGGTAGCCATTGTTTTTTCTGCAGTCCTAATTACCCTCTGAAGTCTGTGTCAATTCAAAGTTATCATTTTAATTTCATTGTACACATGTGCATTGACAATATACGTTTGATTTGATTTGATAATGGCACTGAAAGAAGTGACTTATGAACGTTTTTCACACTTATGACCATTGCCGTATCCCATGGACACATGATTAAAATTCAGATGCTTGGCAACCGACTCATACTTACGACTGTTGCCGTGCCCCAAGGTCATGGGATCTCCTTATGAAGACCTTTTGACAAGGAAAATCAACGGGGGAAGTCAGATTCGGTGAAAAAACCAAATCCCCAATTTAATGACTGCATGGATTCGCTTAAGAAATGCAGTTAGAAAGATGGGAAAAATGGGGCAAAATTCACTTAGCAACTGTTTCACTTAGCAACAGAAATTTCGGGCTCAAAAGGCCAAAAGGTCGCAAAAGGGGACATGACCCAGGACACTGCAGCTGTCATAAAGATGAGTTGATTGATATGTGTCTGAATTTGGATCAGTGACCATGAGGCTGCTGCAATGGTTGTAAGTATGAAAAAAACGGCCGTAAGTCACTTTTTTTCAGTGCCGTTGTAATTTTGAACAATCACTAAATGAACTGTTGTTAAGTTGAGGACTACCTGTAGGGCCGTTGTTGGGAATGGCCATGATGCGTTTTCAATGTATTCCAAAATCCCCGCAAAATTCAGGACCAGGATTATCTGAACATACTCAAAAGGCACTTTTTCAAAAGGCAACTTGTTTCCCCCGCCCCCCAAAGAAGTGGTGGAAGTGGAGGAGGAGGAGGAGGAGAAGAAGTGGGGGGAAGACGGAGGTGGAGGAGGAAGAGACGGAGGAGAAGAAAAGGCAGGAGAGGGGAGGAGAGAGGAGGAGAGATGAGGAAGGAGGGGGAGGAGAAGGAAGAGAAGGAGGGGTGAAGGGGGAGGAAGAGGAGG